ACTGTCGGCATGTATTTCACTAAAACAAATAGAGTATCATCTGATCCTGACATACATGTTAATGGAGAAAAAATACAAATTGTCAGCCAATATAAATATCTTGGGATAATAATAGATTCAGATCTTTCCTTTAAAGCCCATATTGGTAAATTATGTAAAATAATCAAGTTTAATCTTGCAAATTTTATTGCAATTCGAAATGAAATGTCAGCTGAAGCCGCACAAATGTACTTGCATTCAATGATTTTCAGCCACTTGAACTATTGCCTGACCAGCTGGTCCCAGGCTTGTCTGAGCTCAAAAAAACCATTGGAAATCTTGTACAAACAAGCAATTAAAGTTATGGATAAAAAATCTAGGCACTATCATCACTGTGCAATTTTTAGAAAATACAGTATTTTAAATTGGGACAGTTTTGAGACATTTGACTTAAAACTGGCCTATAAAGTACTGCATAAACTGGCTCCAGATCCTCTGGCAGAGTTCATCAACCAAAGAAACAGCCTTGAGCGGATCACTCGAGGCTCTGCCAGAGGTGACTGCTACATTCCTCTGCGCAGGAGCACTTTCAGTCAGTCGGCCTGGTCAGTCAGGAGTGCAGGTGTGTGGAACTCAGTACCTGAGGAGGTAAAACTGCTTCCAACATACAAGGCCTTCACAAAAAAATTGAAAATGTGGCTCATCAACACCTACAGCTGCCAGCACTAAAAGATGGCTGTTGTGATGTTTGATGTTATCATAAAATGTTGTGCTGTGATGTTGCATTTTTTCTTAATTGTATAGTAAGTGTTGTTTATGTATTTTGTATTATATTGTACATGTATTGTGTGCTTTTTCTTTTCTTTTCTCTTTTCTTTTCTTCTTTTTTAAATTGTATTTTTACTGCCTGTTTCACATCATGGCCAGGGGACTACAGATGAAAACTAGTCTTCTGGCTAATTCTGGCTTTTTTAACCATGTGTCATCATGTGTTTTATGAAATTGCGCTGTCCCCTTTTAAATAAACTAATCTAATCTAACAGAGGCTAGTATTAAACACCAAGGTCAAGTTTATTTGTTGGCCCAATGTGACATTCAATGTGTCTGTAAGCTTTACAGGCAGGTCCGTCTGCACAAGTTCTTCAAGGAAATACATAACACAACAATTGTGCAATCCAAGTGACTACAATTAAAATTTACAACAGTAATATGTCCTGTAACAAATACTTTAAATGTCGGAATAATACAAATGACCCCATGACAACAATAACAATAATAACAATTAACAAGTAATATGCATTGTTAGAGAGTAATTTAATTAGTTGAATAAACTCTCAGCTGTTCATTCATTCCACCAATCTTTTTAAGTTCCAACGTTAAAAGAACTCTGTCATAAGATTCTAAAGTGGTCTGAAAATAAATATTAGACATGTTTAATTTCCTAGAAATGATAAAAACAGTATTTACATTCAGTAAACTTGAAAAAAGATGATTTGATTAAATTTCTTTATGATGTTTTTCATGGTACAATTTACCTCAGTCTAATGGAGGTAAATGAATGTTTCTCTGCAAAGCAACAGACAAATTATTTGTTGAAAAACTTAACAGCGTAACTTTCCTAAAGCTTCCAATTACTGAGGATTGCCCACAGACAATGACAAAGAACAGATTCCACTGAAAACCCTTGACAGAAGTGCATGAATTGTTCTGAGTAATTGTGTTTTGCAACATCAGTTTCTATGTTTAAGACACAAAGTAAATTCTTCTCACCTCTGTTGAATTGAGGTGGGAGTAAAACATCTCACAAGTGAATAATAAAACATCATGACCAAGGAAGTTGACAATCCTGAATTTGTAAGAACATAATTAGAAAAATAAAATGTATATGAAAGATGGATGTAGCCACCGCAACATCAACTGGTGGTTTGTGGACTACTGTTTTGAGAGCTCAAGTTTGGAATTTCCCTGTTGCCATCATCATGTTCTGAAACTGCATGCAACGGACATTATGCACAGTGATACAGATACAACCTGTTAATCACAGAGTAGCCATGCCCTAAAAGTATCTTTGTTTATATTCTATTCTACTGTAAATGGGACCGTAATTTCTAACGTCAAAACACCATGCTGTAATAAAAAGTCTTAAAAGTAAAGACTGAGACCATAAACGTAATGCAAAAATGTTTACTAAGATAATCAATCAACTGAGAAGTAAAATAATTTTGTCATATTTTTGTCAATTTTTAGAGAATCAGACTTCTTTTTGCAGCCAGAGGAATTGCCCCCTGCTGGCTGTCAGAGAGAATGCAGGTTTAAGGCACTCTTGTGTTTGCTTCACTTTTTTCATACAGTTACTGACCAGCAGCAATTGTTGCTTTAATGCATCCATCCATTATCTATGCACCGCTTAATCCTCACTAGGGTCGCGGGGGGGCTGGAGTCTATCCCAGCTGACTTAGGGTGAAGACAGGGGACACCCTGGACAGGTCACCAGTCTATCACAGGGCCACACTTAGAGACAGACAACCAAGCACACTCACATTCACACCTATGGACAATTTAGAATCACCAATTAACCTCAACATGTTTTTGGACCTTGTGGGAGGAAGCCGGAGAACCCGGAGAGAACCCACATTGCACAGGGAGAACATGCAAACTCCACACAGAAAGATCCTGGTGCTCCCACCGGGATGCGAACCAGCGACCTTCTTGCTGCAAGGAAACAGTTCTAACCAACTGCGCCACCTGGCAGCCCTGCTTTAATGCAAAAATGCAGCTAAAAATGATATGGGTCATCTAAAAATAAATTGAATATAATCATATATTCATTCTTTTTTTTTATATAATCAAAATTAATTTGAAACAGCCTCAATCTTAGAGCTTACTGTAGGCATTTCACCCAAAAGCCATTAGAAATCTTTTAACATGGATGGCTCAAACATCCTAACATAAACCTGTAAAGGCAATAGAATTGCTTTAATACATTAGAGACAATCTTATCTTCATCGTGTACATCAATTACTTTATGTTCAGGCTGGTGATAAATGAAAGCCACAGCCTGGTGGAAAGTGAAGATGTTTTGTCAGCCACCTCTCCAACTTCATCTGAACACCAAATAAGTATTTTTTTTTTGCAAATGTTATTTACTCCTCCAGTACAATCTATACGTCTATATATGAAATACATACATAACTCCAACATTGCTCTCTCTCTCTCTTATCCCTCCACATATACCATGCTTCATCTAATCCTAAATAACTTACAGATAGCCTTTTTAAACATACAAATCTTAAATAACCCTAAACAATGTTTTAATTAAAAAAGAAAAAGAAAATAATGACTAAAACAATGGTCACATTGAAAAGGTATATCTTCTATACACGAAAAACACCAAATGATGATGATGTGATCAGTTTGTAGCCCTCTCTGACCCACACTTTCACCTGATCTCCTTGCAACAAGTCAAAAAGCCGCCCAACAGACACAGTCCGGAACCCTTCTGGACACTTGACACCATCCCAGACATCCGTCAGGTTTTGAATGTCACTGTATCCCAAAGGCAGTCTGCGCAGCTGTAGAGAGAACGTCCTGAAGCCTTCAGGTTCATCGTGGCATCCTAAAGCAAAACTTGTGTACACAAAATAGATGCCCGTCACACGAATCTCAATGGCACGTTCCTTTTCGATGTAGTTTCCACCTAACACAGGCTGCCATTTCATGTATGTTTTGTTGGTCACATTTTTCTCAAACACAGACCCTGCAGGATGAGACACAAACAATAAATCAGTTATCTGAGCAGATATTTTAACTGTTACAGCCTGAAAACAAGCATCTCCTTCTTAAAGCAAATGAGCCCTGACAAAATACATGAATCCGAATGTTGGACAGTTTCCCGTCTTTCCTTTGTGCCAAGAGTCTGCATGCCTGGGGCGCCGCTATAGCTCACCTGGTTGAGCTGGTGTCCCATGTGCAGGGCTACAGTCCTGATGTGGAGGTCTTGAGTTCCAATCCCGCTCATGACCCTTTCCCACATGTCCTCCCCCCATTCTTCTCCCCTACTTTCCTGTCTCTCTCTCACTACACTATCCAATAAAGGCACAAAGGCCAAAAAAATAACTTTGGAAAAAAAAAAAAAAGAGTATGCATGCCAGCTGGTTGTGCTGCAGCATGTCAGTAGACCAACACAGATCCACCTACAAGCGGCTTCACCCTGTACTGTTGTGAACCATTAGCTGTCAGTCTGTGAAATAAAGAATATATTTGAATGTATTTCTGTACAACTTAGATGTTAATCTGCCAGATGTGACTCACAGCTGTCTTTGAAAGTAAGTTCTTAAAGTTTTGGTTATTTCTTTTTGAAGCTTTGAAGTATTTAAATCTCAGCTATACCAACATAGGACATACCACAAATGGATGAAATACATGTACATTACAATGAAAGAATAAACTAACATGAAACATATCTCAAGAGGAGCACTTACTGAGATCATTGAGCCCACGTAGGGATTCATTTGGAACATTATCTGTTGACAGAGAAAGAGAGGAAAAACAGGTTCAAAACAGTGTTTTTGGCTTGTTCACAACACTTCAGGGAAAGCGAAACACTCATCTGTGTGATGCAACACAAGCATTCTCTGAGTTATAAATATGACACAAATAGTAACCGAAAATATGACTGTATTTGAGCCTTTGTCAAGAAGACTAAAGAGCAGTAAATCATGCCTGAAAATTCATTTTATTTAGAAATAATAAGATGAATGACTTGTCATACCTGTAGGACACCCTGCCACTTGCTTGGAGTAGGTTGCACTGTGCTCAGATGTGCTCTGTGAAAAAGGAAGACCACATTTTTTTACCTGTCCTTTATTTTTTGGATATAGTTTTGTCTATTACAATCAATTAGGACCATTATGTGGATTTTGTGACAGCTTGTACAGATTCCAAAATGATCTTGTCTTTGCTGTTATACAAGCTGCAAAGGGAAATTAAAAGGAGTTGAAGGAGGTTCTTCATCACTCAGTAGGTAAGTGTATCTGGTCAGCTATCATTCATTTGCCCACTGAGATATATTTTGTATAAGTTAACTGGGAGTTTTCTTGTTATGATGATTCTGGGATGCAGTGCAGCACTCAGAAATGTGGACACAATCATCTACATAAAAATAAATCTGATACATTTTCTTAGAAAGCATCAAGTCAAGCCTAGTACGTAAAAATCTTTAAGTACAGCTATTGAAGTAACACAGCTTAATCTGGTGCCCACTGTCTCCACTCACATTTGTCATTTTAAACGCAGTCTGTTGTGCACCATGCAAGCTTTAAATTAATCCAAAAGCTTGATGATTGATGTTTGTGGATGAATCTGTCAGTGTGTTTCACATGTCCATGTTGCCTCAATACTGAATTCAGACATAGTTTAAACTCTCGAAGACAAAAAGGGAAATTCAGAACAAAATGAAAAAGTTTTGAAACTTACTGTCTGTCCACTGGATCCAGAGTTTTCATGCTGTTGTAAATTACCACAGAAGATCATAAAAATAAACAGCGCAGCACACCCAAGCAGCAAGAACAGAGTGATGAGCCTGAGTCTCGTCTCCTGTTGTTTCATGTCCCGGCAGTGTTTAAGGAGGATCAGCACTGACTCGTCTGGGCTCATTTCCGTCAAAGCATCCACACAGGCAGCCCCAGTGTGCCCCATCAGTTTCTGTCCCATGATCTTTCTCCAAGTGTCAGGTCCTGAAAAAAACTGTGTCCTGCTGATACATGCACAGTCTTATATTAGCCGAACAGCTGGGTTGAAGCCAAGCCTCCTACACCTTTTTGTCTGGGATTACCTCATCTGTCCATTCATGCAGAAGGGAAGCGAGAGCAGAGGGGAGGGGCACTCCACACAGAGACCCAATCTCATTGTGACTTTGACAACTTCTTGAGCACTACAATCCAGACATAACATAACATGTTGTTTTCCACATCTGAATCAAAATACTCAGTCTGCTGGACAGTATGACAAATGTTTACTTCATTTCTGTTCTCCACAGTTGTGACTCAGCTCTTAGTGGAGCAACACAAAGTAAACTTCTCATTTCCCCAAAATCTATGCTGGTATTATGCTTCCAAATGAGGTGGTGCAGTTGGGATTACTGTTGCCTCGCAGCAAGAAGGGTTCAGGAGGTATTAAGGTTGGTAACGGTCTTTCTATTATGGCGCTTTGCACGCTTTCTTGCTTTCTTTCTTTCTTTCTTTCTTTCTTTCTTTCTTTCTTTCTTATTTAATGTCAATCCTGCAACAGATGTTGAGGGTCAGGGCTGTCCACTTGCTGCGAACAATAACTATAGAGGTCAATGGTGATTTAGTGGCCAACCAACTTTTTTTGTTCCATCAGACAACTCTGCATATAGTAAGGTTTTGACTGGCTGGAAGTCATCCATATGGCAAATGTACACCATCCAATAGAGACGATTTCTGACCAGTTTGATCTCTATGTCTTCTACACTGGCTTTTTCTAAGACCTCCTCATTTGAGACCAAGTGATCCCATTTGAGTTGCATTATAGACCTATGGGTGATGTTGTTCAGTGTCCCTTAGTTATGCTGCTGTAGGTTTAGACTGTCGGGGGATTCTAATGATGCACTGGGCTCCTATCCTCTGCTCTCCTCTCTTCCATACATTTATACATCACCATAACATATCACCAACTCTGTTTCCCCAGAGGTCCTGTGCGCTTTCTCTCGGATGTCTCTGGATCTGGCGCTTCACATCTGATCTGCAACTGCTGGCCTCCTTCCATCAGTTAATGATGCTTCTTTTGTTTTTGAATAATTGTGGTGCCATTGTCAAAAAGGAGTGGGGTTAGTGTTATTCTTTGATGGACCATAAACAGCTTTTAGAGAGGCAAAGAACTATTTTGCCTCAAATGCACAGGTTGTGCAGTTGAGAACATGTGCTTTCTATGTCCCTAAGCCACTGAAATAAAAGTCTTTTACTTTTCAAACTCAACTTTGAGCGCCTGGACCTGGATTTTTTTGGCCTTTTTTATGCCTTTTTTCCAGAGGTTAGTGAAGAGAGACAGGAAAGGTAAGGAGAAGAGTGGGGAAGGACATGCAGCAAGTCAGCCATGGGTCAGTCTTGATCAATGGCCGCTGCGTTGGAGACTTTCAGCCCCTATTCATGGGTCGCCTGCTCAACCTGTTGAGCTGCCAGGGCGCCCTGGACCTGGATTTTTCATGCTTGTCGCAGATCGTTCAGAGACTCAAGCGCGAAGCAACAGAGACACAGCACATCAGAATATATATAACAATTTTATTTACAAAAACATGTACAACTTAAACAGGAAACAAGACTAAATTCCTAAATGAACAACAGGGATACAATGGGGATAATGTCTGTGGGAGACACCCACGGGACAGGAGGTGAATTACACCAAAACCACAAACCAAAATTAATACAAATTTAACAATCCAATAATATTTACAATACGGAAATTTATTCACAAGGGGGAAACTAACCAGGACTTAGTACGTACCACCAAACTAGGAAAGCTGAATTACTTGATTCAGGCAAATATGCACATGATGCTACGGAATGCCAGCACGATGAAAACAGCTCCCAGAGGGAGAACAGGAGAGAAGTTAAAAAGAAAAAGTAGGAAGAAGGGAGAAACTGCCACGACAAAACACTGGATGTGAAGGGTGTGACAATGCTAGTGTTTTTTGTTTTTAATTCTTCTTCTCTTTTGTAGAAATAATGCAGAATTAAGAGGTGGTACAATCTGAAATCATTTGACATGTAAGGGGTGTACTTAGTGCTGTTGTAAACTGTGTAAATGTGGTTCCCTTCCCCCTCATATACAAACCAAGCATGGATGGTGTGTTGAAGAAATATACTAGGAAGGATATCTGTAAGTGACAGCGTCTGACTCCTTGCGGCTATGATTATTTGTTACATGTTTGCAGACTTGTTTGTGCTTTTACTAATACATAGGATTTCCAGGTGGCTTTTCTGGCTTTACTAACGTAATACTTAAGGGTTGACTTAAGTATTAACTTAATAAACTAAGTAGAGCAAATGAGGACAAACATTTTGGATGGTTGGTATGCCTCTTAATGTTTGGTGATTCTGATTGACTTATTTGGGTTTGTTTGTACAGTGTTATTTGTGAATGATGCATCGTAACATGGAACACCCTGCATTTGGAGTCATACTGTGCAGCTGGCCTTTCTGGGAAGTGGGAAGAGTGTGGAGTCATACAGCATGTTGTGCTCTGGTCTCCCCTAGATGTGGGCTAAAACATTTATAAGATAAGATTAGATAAACTTCATTTATTCCTCAGCAGGAAAATCCACTTGTCACAGCAGCTGGGTATAGGTAAGGCAGGAAGAAGTACAAGAATGACAAAAATGTACAACAGGACAAAAAACTTATCGGGGGCTTATCTGTTTTTATTCACTGATAGGTTTGATTTATTTTGTGCCACCATCCGTAAAGGTTATGGAAATATCCTGTTGCAAAAGTGGAGCCAGTGTACTTTGGCTCCATTTGTGTCCCACAATTTCTCTAGTCACCATCCTCTCACATTTCTGACTCAGATGTTGGCATTTTTTCTGAGAGGAAAACATCTGATATTCGGACAAGGAGGTGGGAAGATTTACATTTCTTTTGTTGTAACATATTTATCACATCCTCTCAGATGGAGAGAATGAGAGTGATTGGATTTGAATGGGTTGTAATGCTGTTAAATCCACACTGACATCAAACTTTTTCCCTTCCTTAGCCACTTTCAACAGTGAGCAAACATTTACACTGAACAAAAATATTAACACAGCACTTTTGTTTTTGCTCCCATTTTTCATGAGCTGAAGTCAAAGATCTGAGAATTTTTCTATGTTCACAAAAGGCCTATTTTTCCACCATTTGCCTCACGCAGTGCAACACATCTTCACATAGAGTTGATCAGACTGTTGATTGTGGCCTGTGGAATGTTGGTCCACTCCTCTTCAATGGTAGTGCAAAGTTGCTGGATATTGGCAGAATTGGAACACGCTGATCCAGAGCACCCCAAATATGCTCAATGGGTGTCCTGTGAGTATGCTGGCCATGCAAGAACTGGGACGTTTTCAATGTCCAGAAATTGTGTACAGATCCTTGTAACATGGGGCTATGCATTATCATGCTGCGACATGAGAGGATGGTCGTGGATGAACGGCACAACAACAGGCTTCAGAATCTCTTCACGGTGTCTCTGTGCCATCAATAAACTGTACCTGTGTTTGTTGTCCATAACATACGCCTGCCCATACCATAACCCCACCGCCACCATAGGCCACGTGATTCACAACATCGACATCAGCAAACCGCTAACCCACACAGCGCCATACACGCTGTCTGCCATCTGCCCTGTACAGTGAAAACTGGGATTTATCTGTGAGGAGAACACCTCTCAGAAGTGCTAGACACCATCGAATGTGAGCATTTACACACTCAAGTTAGTTACGACGACGAACTGCAGTCACGTTGAGACAGGAAGACAACGAGCATGCAGATGAGCTTCAGATGAGACGGTTTCTGACAGTTTGTGCAGAAATTCTTTGGTTATGCAAACTGATTGTTGCAGCAGCCGTCTGGGTTGCTGGTCTCAGACGATCTTGGAGGTGAAGATGCTGGAGGTCCTGGGCTGGTGTGGTTACACGTGGTCTGTGGTTGTGAGGCTGATTGGATGTACTGCCAAATTCTCTGAAATGTCTTTGGAGACGGCTTATGGTAGAGACATTGACATTCAATTCATGGGAAACATCTCTGGTGGACATTCCTGCAGTGAGCATGCCAGTTGCACTCTCCCTCAAAACTTGCGACATCTGTGGCACTGAGCTGTGGATAAAACTGCACATTTTAGAGCAGCCTCTTATTGTGGCCAGCTGAGGGCACACCTGTGCAATGATCATGCTCTCTAGTCAGCATCTTGATATGACGCCTGTGAGGTGGAGGGATTATCTCGGCAAAGGAGAAGTGCTCAATAACACAGATTTAGACAAATTTGTGAACAATATTTGAGAGAAATAGGCCTTTTGTGTGCATAGAAAAAGTCTTAGATCTTTGAGTTCAGCTTATGGAAAATGGGAGCAAAAACAAAAGTGTTGAGTTTATATTTCTGTTCAGTGTAATTCTGTCTTTTGTCGTAAGAGTTCAGTGAGAACAGAACAACTGAAGACAAAACTTTCTGATGGCTGATTGGTCTTGAGTGACTGTGAGAGATTCACTTCCCTTGAAATCCTGCTGGTTTGTAAATTATTATTTGTGAAATGTACAATGTAGGTATTGAAGACCCATTAGCAATTTGACAGGAGTGAGAAGCCCTTTTGTTGTCTTGTTTTTGGTTCAGAAGCTCAGGTTAGAGACCTGGCATTTGTTAAACTTTTGCTTTCATTGATGGGAAGGTTTAGAGCTGATACACTTGTTTGTTATTTTAGTTTCGATAAACTGATAATTGAGTCATGCTGTACAGATGGTCTTTTAATCTACTATCAGCACATTAAACTGTCCAAATACAATTTCCTAACTAATAAATATTTTGTTCATGTGTGATGATAATCTAACCACTACTTCACTAACAGTGAAATAGAAATATCCCAACTATGGTGATGGAGCTCAGGACTCAACCTGAGGCCTAACTGGGAGTAAGAACTGATTTACCTTCAGCTGATAAACTGTGACTCTGTGTTACTCACTTGACTAAAGATTGCTCTCCTA